TTGATCATCTTCCTTCGCCAAGATCCACAAGGTCTCATGCCACCCCTCTGGGAGGTCAGAAATATCCAGATCTGGATTCTTTGGTCGCAGGGTATAAATGGACCCGATCGCCCAGTTGGTGGCCTTATCCTCGATCTCCTCTGACTGGATCCGCATTTCTTCAGTCAGGGAAGCAATTTTTCCCCGACTCTTCTGGAGTTCAGCCTCCAGAGCTAGCCTTTCCTTTTCGGAGGCCTCCCTTTCTTGCTCTGCTCGCTGAGCCCGTATGGAGCTCCTGGCCCTTCTCTCCGACCTCTTTAGAGAGCCTAGCGGTTGTCCTCTGAATCTCTTTTACTTCCTCTGCACGTCGTTCAAGCTCCGCTGTTTGGAAGTCAACGGTCCGCATAACGGCCTCCTTCTGGTTCAAGTACCTGTTCGCCGCCTCAAATGCTTGCGTTCTTTCCGTTTCGACGGTCTCCAGGCTATGTTTGAGCTTCGCGACCTCCTCTTTTAGATCATTTGCCCCCTTCACAGCCCCCAGTCGAGCCTTCTCTATGGACATCCTCATTGCAAGCAAAGCCTGCGAGCAAGAAGTGAATTAGAATGAAAATGGCGGGCAAACTTTAAGAACAGTTCGCTTACCTTGCTTAGATGCTGGAACGACGTGGTCATCAGGTCATCGCCCGTATCGGCGAACTCATCATATGACTCCGATAGCCCACACTCAAGCAGAGAGTAGACTATCGGCTGCAGGTATTTGGGCAGGTTCCCCAACGAGTCCAGCATTGGTGTGCCCTTCGTCTTGTCGGCAGCAATCGTCTCGTCCGCGGGTTCCTTGCCCGACCTCCTTCTTAAGTCCTACCGCGACCTTAAGGGTTCTTCCTCAGATTCAGTCTTTGACTCGTCGACTTGAATCTGCTTCCTCTTCTTCGTCCGCTGGGCCGGAGCCTTCCGCCTCGGGCGAGCAGGTGGTGGCTGAGCGACCGATTCTGTCCTGATCGTTTCTTGCTCAGGACGGGACTGGGAAGGCATGGCTGTTCGCACCAATTGTGCCGTTGTAGGCAAGCAGCTTCGGCCGCCCTTTCTTTCCTCGATCGAGAGAAGATGAACGGTGCTCGTCGGGGCTGCTCAGACTCTTTTGGAGGCATGGTCGCTGCATGCAAGTACATTAGTAACTAAACAAAAATTATTCTATGACCAAAAGGGAATCATTGTAACTTACCTTCTGGGGACTCCAAAGACGCGTTGTTACTAAAAAAACTGTACTTTCGCAAGTTCGCGGTCGTCCCGAGCTTCCTTGCTTCCCGACTTTCCTCGGGAAGGACTCCAAAAGACACGAGCCTGTCCAGGTCGGTGGGCAGGTCTTGGCTGGTCGTCTTGTTAATTGCAAAAGAATGCAGGTTGTTATAATAAAGGAAGCGAACAACCAATGAACCTAGCGAAGAAGAACCTACTTGGTTTCTGAAAGCGGCAGTAACCATCGTAGCAGAAAAAGAAGAACTTCGTCTCGTAGGCCCCCGCGTTACTGGGATAGCTATGTATCCCTTCGGCGATGGTAGGTCGCCGGGATAAGTAATAGGAGTCCTTGTCCTTACTCTTTTTTAGAAAATAGGCGACGCCGAGCTCCACTGCCGTTAGCTCGCCCAAGCCACTCTCGCGGCACGCGATGTACATCGCAATGGCGATGACATATGTGTTTGGCGTCAACTGCATTGGTGCGATCTCGAAGTGATCCAGGACTGACCTAATGAAAGGGTGGAAAGGAATCATCCCTCCACCCTTGAAAATCTTTTCGGAGATCGCAGCTATGCCATCGGAAGGATGCCGCGATGACCGGGTGGCGTCAAGGAACACCTCTGTGCGGACGTCGAACTGTCTTTTTATCCTCTTGAACTCTTCTCGGGTGAGAACCGAGAAGACATCAAGGGATGCGTCCGCGGGAACGTCCTGCGAAGACGAACCGGTTCCTTCCTCGAGTTTGGACGTTGAAGGTTCCATTCCACAGTCTGCAACACTGACAGACAGAAGGTCATTTTAGCCATCGCACATTGCCCCGCACGGCGGCATGGAACAAATTCCCTAAACCCTAACAGTAACTCGAGCCGCCATCCACGGCTCGAACCCGATGCCAGCGTCGCGTCTCTGATGAAACACCAGGAGACCCAACACCATTGCACCCCCAAAATAAAGAAAGAAAAAGACCTTACCTCCTGGGGCGTGCGACCGAGGACGGTTCTTGTTTCGGATATCGGAGAGATGCCAATCGAAAAAGAAGAACTTCCGGTTTGCAAAAATTTCTCGCTCGAGGCAGAAGGGATTCTGGTGGCATCATCTGAAAAAATTGGGCTTTTATATGGACTACGAACTGACGTTTACCACCCCTCGGAATCGAAACGACAGCCTTCTCTCTCTCTCCGCATTAAATGCGCCCCACGTCGCATTCAATGTTGTGATGAGGGTTGTCGTTTTGAGTGTGTCGTGCAATTAATGCTCTGCCAAAACAACGCCGGGTCAGCACAAAACGTATTTAATGCGCCTGCCAGCCGCTTTAACACGTGCAGAGCGCCTGACCGCGCAGAAACAGGCTCATTGAATCTCCAACCCTAAGGCACGGTAAGAAACGCCTGATGAATCCAGGTCGCTGGGATAATGATTGTCAGGTCGTTTGGGCAAAGTATGTGCGAGTCGTGTTTGCAAAAGGCCATGTCCCGAGCTTCTTCCATTTAGGTTGAAATTATCAGAACCTCCAATCGTGGCATGACTTAGTTTTCAAGGTTCGATTCTCAAACCTAAAAACTAGGGGACTTCTGTTATGCCTGGGAAATCAAGGGCTGACGTGGGAAATCACGTGATGAAGTGTGACCTGCTCCCGTCACAACGGTAAGCGCACGTCATACCTGCAAGATGCCGTGGAGCTCCCACATGTCCACTCCCTGCTCTAAATCGCGTGAAATCAGCTTGGAAGGAGGGTAATGTGACATAAAGCTGGATTTAGTCCTGACATTCACACCAACCCATGGATTTAATGATGATTACTTGCATTCATCTCACTATAAGAAGAGGGGGACCTCTTCATTAAGGGGGATTCGGCTATTTTTTGCACTCTGAACTAACTCTCTCTCTATCTCTCTCTTGTAAACTTTGTATTTATTTTTCCCTAATCATTTGTAAGTCAGTCCGCTGTTGCGACCTGACCTACAATACTAATACAAATCAGTAGACGTAGGACTTGCTGCCTTAGCATCCGAACCACTTTAAAAAGCTCTCATTGCATTTATTCTACATTCTATCCATAATCACGTGTGTCTCTTGACCAATCAACGTTACGCACGTGTCGATTAGTTGGTGTTAAAATCACGCATCAATAGATGGTCATGCCCCCATTGTACTCTAGATTTTTTTCTGTAGGGATTCTCTAAGTGTAGTATTCTTTTAAATTCTTTTTTGTAGTATGGCTCTTTGGATTCTCATGCATACATGTCTTTTGCATTTTCTTGAAACATGAATTTATTTTTAAAGGGGTCAGACTTAATTACTATGTCTTCTCAGTGTAACGATCTTTTTTATTTTAGCTTTTATACATTTTCCTCATATCCTCCACGCTCACAAATATAAATAAATTGCCTAGGTAGGACATTAATTCATATATATATAATATGAGATATTTTAAATTAAAAAATCCCATAAATTTTAGAAAGAGTTTGGAGATAATTATTAAGTTTGCCACCTCTGCGATTCTTACACCATTGGATTGTATTAAATCCACGATTGAAAATTTGTGTAAAAAGTTTAAATTAAAAATTTAAGTTGAATATCTCATCCCCATATATATATATAGGAGATCTCGCAATGGAAAACATCCATCTAGATTAATAGCATGAATATAAATTATACATCAAAGATATACGATATTTAACGTAATTCGACATATAACTCGTATACATTCACAGATTAGAGAGAAATTTATTATAGTAACATCAACACGGATAATACAAGAGCACACACTTTAACCTAGTACCTATTTCTAGTATATAATTAATAAAGTGTAAATAATCCCAATTCCTACCCTCACCGTATGGTGTTTAAACAACCTTTTACATCACATACCATGTGCAACCCATCCTTCTTTGATAATCTTGAATTGATTATCACCTATGTATTCATAGATAATACATGATATTCTACTTCTAATAGGAATCTTATTCTATTCCTATTAGTACTCTTGTTTTCTTTATTCCTAATAGATTCACATTTCTTATAACATTTTTACAAGAAAACACATAAGAAAATGAGCTACAATATGTCAACATTCTTTTCCTAATATGATAATTAACACCTAATAGGATGTGAATCCTTGTTTTCTAGGATTCTTTTCCACCTAGAATTAGGTTGAATTATCATGATATTTACATTAGATTTATTTCCTTTTATGTACACACATTTATTTAGAATCCATATTCTTTAAGGACTTTGGGTTTCTAAAGTTTTAGGATTAGAGTACTATAAATAGGTGATGTAATGAGTCTTTTATAAGTAATCAATTAAGAGGTTGTGGGTAGTTCTTAGGTGGAGTGAGAGATCCTTGATCTTGTATTTGTCTTTCATTCTAGTGGAGTAAATATTTATGTGTTGCGTCCCGACCCTAAATCCGGTGTGTCTTCTCTTTTCTTCTCTATTTCTTCTTTATTGTTCTTTCTTAAGTGTTCTAATTAATTAAAGCTATTGGTTGTGTGGTTGATTAAATATTCTGCAGCATATATATGGTTGAATAATTGCATTAACTTATGAAGAAAAATTCTCCCATCAGTTTTAATCAGCATAAAATTTCATGAAATACTATATTGCAATTTCCTGATTGACTTTGAAAGGAAAAAAACTAAAACCGTAATTTAGAGTGCAAATTTATTGTCATATAAACAATCAAAAGTAGAACTTTATTGTAGTAAATAGTAATAATAAATTGCTAGAATTAGCATGTGAAGGTATAGCAACCACAATCTTCATGCATCTTCAGTGAACTTCAAACTTTTCAGCAGCTTCATGGAAGAGGCCAGAGGACTTGTCATTCATTAGACGTATGGAAGAACTGTAAACACAGTTTGTGCTACAGTGAGTAGAAGCAGGAAGACAGCAGCAATAAAGGAAATGAGTGCCCATGGAGTGTTAAAATATTTGTGCCTTAAGTTGGCTTTCCATTTGTTCCACCTCCTGCCACAGTGATAGTTGACTTGCAGGAATAATTCATAGTACCTGAAGGAGGCTGGAAAGAAGGTGACATTATCGGAAAGCCTATTGAACATATTGGCAAGCACTTTGTCATCGCCTAACCCATTTTGAACAACTTCACTTTGACATAGTAATTCCACATCTCCGGGGGTGTTCATGAGGCAATTCATGAATTTCAAATAATCAGTCACATAACTGTAATCTGGATCATGTAAGAACTGCTCATGCGCGATGAGGTTTCGGAAGAAAGACTCACTGTTGTCATCAATTTTCAACATTGGAATCTTCATTATTCCATTTTCAAATTTTATACCGAATAAACTGCTTGCATTTTTCTCATCGACCTTCGGACTCTTGAACTTTATTCCAGCCTCTTTCAACTCTGTGGCGCAACGAATGAATCCCCATTTGTCCTCCTCATCTAGAACTCTCGGGCCCACAATTTTCCCTGTTTCTGAAGAAAAAGGAGACCAGTTCAAGTGTATTAAATCCAAGACATGGTTGATTCTCTCGATTTTGAACATTTTATTCTTCAGTTTACGATCGGGAACCAAATCATCAAAGAAATGAAGAATCAAGTCACAGATATTGTTATCATTTCCCTTGTCTTGAACCTTCATCATTTCGACAAAGAACGCATGAAGAACAAAGAAGGGAAGTTGATTCTCAACTAATAACAAATCACGGCGTATGGCGCTCATGATCCAACCCCCTTTGCGGATATTATCATCAAAGTTTATGTGTTTTGATGTTCCAAACCTGTGCGATAACTGAGCCGGCGTTTCCTTCCTCCGAGCTTCATTATGTGGTCCAGGAGTGTACCCGCCAAGTAGCTTAACGATGAAGCAAGCATCCAGGAGCATCATTTCAACAAACGCATCTGTTGTTTTTAGATCTCCATCAAGTTCAGATTCAACATAGCAAGCCCGGGCCTCTTTTTCCAATTCCCTCATGGCCAAGGCACATCCTTCCACATATTTTTTCCCTCTGTCGTCTTCGAGAAGCTTTTTCAGATTTTGCACTTTTTGCGTTTCCATTGCCATTAAGTGTTTTTTACCACGGTGATAAGGACCGATTGCAAGTATTTGTGGTTCATAAGCCTTTTCATTCACTTTACGTAGATGTTTAGGTAATTTAAAAATAGTAGGATCGTTACACGAATCTTCAGATAGCTCACCGAGCTTTTGACAAAGGCTGTCTCCAAGAGTTTTAGAAAAGTGATCATAATTTTTATTCTTATGTGATGAAAGAATTGTATCATCCATCACAACGTCTTGGCTACTATGAATAGCTGAGGGATAATCTGGCTCATAAGCCATTCCATTCTCTTCATCAGCATGAGAAAATAAGTGAACTGTTTCCTTAACAATCTCCATCCCTCTGCCAATATGCACACATATATTATCATTAATTGAAAGTTATTTCGCTATTATTTACTCAATTACCATTAATGAAATAAAATAAAATTGGAATTATCATGCACAAATTCATAAATAAACAGTTAAAAATTAAAGATAGAGAGCAAAAAATCCGACACATATTGAGGCCTATAAAAGGCACGTTGGCTAATGGCTAGCCTTCAATCACATGTGAAGGCTTTTGAAGAAACCTACGAAAATAACAGTGCTTAGATAGATTTTCCTAGGTGGATCTGGATTGGATACGGTTAATTCATGAATTTTCGTAGTTGGTCAAATCTTTGGTGAGAGAGAGTTGAAGGTTGCACTTTTGTATCTCAAGTTCTGTATCTTAAGCGATGTAACTTTATTTTTATAATAAACATCAATCAGATAATATGGTACATAATTTACACCTTAATTTTTACAATAAATATGAATCATATGATCATATGATACATAATTTATACCTTTACGAACAATTAATGCAACGAAATCATCCAATTTATTACTATACTGAAGTGAATAAGTAATTTACTTAGTTGACCCTTTTTAAAAAGCTAAATTAAAAACTAATCAATTTCTAAATGGTTTTATAAGCAAGACCTTTCATAAGATTTTTGGACACTTTTGCTCTTGTCTTGCACACTAAATCACGTGAGTACCATTGCTTCTATGGAAATGAAAAAAAAAGCTTTTGATTTAAGATTGAAATGTAGAATATTATGGTGTTTTGGTTGTGTTTTTTAAGGATTTAGAGTTAAAAAATATATGAAATGTCGAAAATATGTTAAGAGTATAAAAAAAAAAAAAAAAATTGTTAATTCAAATTGGGTTGAAAATTCACTTTTCCAGAAAAATAAAAAACCAGAGCAAATTTGAATGAACTCAATTTGCTCAAGTCCAATTGCTCGAGTCTCGTTGTTCGAGTGGGGTATAATGATATTAACCTCACTTGGTGGACCTTTTCATATTTTACATGGGTCATATTGATATTTTGCATATAACCCATTATGTAAAATATTATTATCATCCATATGAAGTATCAAAAAGACATACTCGAACGAGGTTAATATTATTATACCCACTCGAGCGAATAGACTCGGGCAATTGGACTTGAACGGCTTGAATTTCTATAATTTTTGTGGAAATAGTTTTTCTGATTCAAGTGGTAGATAGTTTGTTCTTTCCCCTAACTATGCAATATTTCACCTATATTAAACATTATTAACTAGTCAAGTGAAGTAGAGCAAAGTGAATTGAAGGAGAAGGGCAAAATCGTCCAGAATTGCATCAAAGGTTTTACTTACAAAGACAAATAGAGATGGGTTGTTTTTTAATTTAACTCTTAAAATAGGGTCATATAAGTAATTATTTCTGCTTTTGAAACATAATTAATAGTTAAAGTTAAGTCATTGATTAAGGTGTGCTTTGAATTCCTCTTGCATTCTCAACTGCATTACTCTTACTACCTAATAGTAATATTACTGTATTAACGAAGAATAAAAGACATTTACCCACCCAAGGTTTAGCGAATCTTTGTTCCCACCCGTGGTTTCATAAATTGCAAATTCCAACCCAATTTTAAATTTCAAACGTTAGATTTAATAGTTAAAAGTGTATTTAGGTCTTTTTATCCAAAAATAGTAAACCCTAATCTCTCTCACTCCCCAAAATTAGTAAGATTTCAAAATAACCTCCACATCTCAAAATTTTCACACAACCCAACCTTTCCTCTCCGCCTCCAACTCCACCACCAACACCAACACCAACACCATCGACAGTCAGATTGGTCACTGTAGAGAAGAGGAAAGAAGAAAGAGAAGAGAGAAAGAGGCAGTGGCTACCTGATTTGGTTGTCGAGATTTGGTAGCTACACAGAGAGAGACAGAGACAGAGAGAGAGAGAGAGAGAGAGAGAAGATCCTGACGACCAGATCTGATTGCTGAGATCTGGCTGTCGTGGAAAAAATGAAGGTTGAAGAAGAGGGTGTTATTGAAACAACTTTGAAAGGAATATGGTTATTTTGCTAATTCTATTAATTTGAGGGTTAGAAAGTAATTTATTAATTTACTCATTATAATATTAAGGGGTAAAAATGGTATTTGACTAGTCAAACCTAGTCAAAAAGCAAAATTTACCTTAATAGAGTTTAAAATTGGGTGGGAATTTGCAATTTATGAAACCGCGGGTGGAAGGGGTAGATTCGTCAAACCTTGGGCGGGTAAATGTCCTTTACTCATTAACTAATTATAAGTAGTTTGAGTAGAATGTATCCTTCTATTACGAACTAAACTGAGACATGTAGGTAAACTGAACTAATTATAAGTACAAAGTCTACATATTAAACATATTTAGTGAAGAATTGAGATTTAAAGAACTAAATTGATACATGTAGAGAAGAATTCAAATAAGTTTCAGTTATTGTAAAGTAGAATTGAACTTACTTGCTTACTTCTCAGCTTTCCCTCAACCAGTAAATCTTTCAGTGCAAATTGATTGTTCCCTCTTTTTAATGAAAGAAAGTATTGAGTAGTGTCACAAATTAGGAGATTGTCGTTATTTATATAGTGATCATTGGAGAATGCAGCTACATAGAGCTCAGAGATATTTTATTTATATTTAGAGTTTTTCAAGTTTGAAAACGATCACGGTGTTCCCACATTGTGTAAAGCTGGCTTGACTAGGTTAACAATTAACTTATTGTTCACAGCTAACGAAATGTATAAATTATAATATATGATTGACTGTGTAGATTTAATTTAGATGTACTAATTAAAGAGTCCTATTACAAAGGATGAACTGTAGAATCATATTGTAATATTCAGTTTTGATTTTCCATCATATTAAATTGAAAGCCGTTTTTCCATCTTTTCATTTTTTTAACACACTTTAAATTCACATTTTAAGTTCACACATGAGAAAGACAAATCAAACCAAATCTATATTCCTAAAACTGATTAAAAAAAAAAAAAAAAAAAAAATCCAAACCTATTCAAAATCAAATAAAAACATTTATACTTTAAAACAAAATTTCAACACATGGTTCTAAACCAATATTAATAGACAGCCACAATGTGAATCCAATTTGGTTTGGTTGTTGTATAAACAAATTTTAATGTAAAACAGTGGGTAACTTTATTAATTTTTTTTTTTTATAATTTATCTATAACTTTTTTTATAATAAAATTATCAATAGAGAAACTCGAATGAGTGCTCTACTAGTCAGCATTACGCCCTTAAAGGTTTATGACAAAATTATGAAACAACATGTTTATAAAACTAATAAATAATACTGCACATATAAAAATTGTATATAAAGTTTCATTAATAAAGTAATATAGAATTATTCTTGTATAGTCAATTCATTCACTATCATTTAATAAATATCTAATTATTTGATATTACATCAATTTAGATATTATACTTGTATTGCCCAAAGGTTTTGGCTTGGTGGGAGGGAGTTCATTCAATCTTGGCAAAGACTTAGGTGACGCGGCCTTTGGGGGTGGGATGGGGTTGGGATTCAATTTCTTTTTAAACTGTTATTGAAATTTTTTTTTTATTAAAAATATAAATCCAGAAAAATATTAATCCTTAGAAAGCAAATAACTCTATAACAATCCATTTCCCACATTCTAGAAGGGATATTCTAATAACATAAAACCTACAAAAGATCATATTTGATACCATAATATTTAAGGTCAACCCTTCTGCCAATTACCAGTCTATATTCGCGTATGACAACTATTATTTCTAGTTAAAAAGTCATTTATTCATTTTCTCACATTTTTAGGTAAGAGTTTGTTTATTAGTTTCTACGAGTAGTGTTAATTATTTTTTGATCTACAAGTAGGGCTTTCAAATGGTTTCATGTCAAGTAATCAAAAAAAAAAAACACTGAAACCAAGATCAAATTAGAAGTAGAGACGTGTTAATCATTTATATATGTTGATCTAGGTTTGGTTTAGCTGTCCTGATTTCATAGAAACTGATTAATATATATGGAGGTTGGCATTGTTTTCATCATGTGTTAAAATTCAAATAAATATTTGTAAGAAGATGCATTCAGTAAGCGTAATCCTAAAACAAGAATATTTAAATATGAATTTACCGTGAACTTCCTTATTTCAAGGCGGTCATTGCTCTCCCATTTAATTTTATATGTTGACTCCACCAAGCTCCATGTTCAGGTTAATTTATAAGAAGATCAAATTTTATAATGAGCTGAAGATTATAATATGGCTGTACGAGGCTCCTAATTAGAATTTAATTAATGAGTTTAAGGTAGACTTTGAAATTTGTAGAGAACGAATACATTGACGACCTTAAACTTCTCAGGTTTTGTAGGGTATGATGTCAGCCGCTTTATGTCATTTGTCATGGAATATAATTCATTCAAGCAATGAATGGGAATAGGGAAGAAATCACATATATTAGTCCAACAAAATATATCAAATCGTCTTTGATTTTTTATAATTAAATAATTAAGAAGATCTTTTAACTTAAAATATTGATTTAAATTAAAACACAAATTTTTAGTCAGTGGATATCTTATAATCCAATAAATACAAGAAAGAATTTGGATGAAGTTATTTTATTTGCAACCTCAATAATTTCTACACCATTAGAACTACCGAAAAGTTATGTTAAAAAAGAATTTTAGTCAAAATTTAAGTTAAAAGATCATTTCTCTTGAATAAAACCCATGCATTAGTATATAGTATTGGAATATTTTTCAATATGTTTCTCCTCCATCAAAATATTTTAATTCAAACTCCTATTTCCAAAGAGAAATTATATGAGTAAAAAGTGAACCAAATAACTTGTAATAACCAACATATATCATTACATATAATTAATTTAAGAAGTATCATTCCATTACTGCTAGTCGCAGCCGACTAGCGTCGCCAGCCAATTTTTTTTTTTACTTATTAATATCTAAATAATTATAAATAAAAATGTTTTCCAAAAGAATG